ATCCATCCATCCATCCATCCATCCATCCATCCATCCATCCATCCATCCACAGAGGCCGCCCGGCCCCGCACCCATTCATGTATTTTGTATTATAAAATGACTGTGGTCGCCATGACGACAGGAAAGGAGCCGATCTCATTACCGAGGCCGGGATGCATTATTTTCTCCGAGGAATTCCTTCTTTTCATTATTTCCCTCCAAAGGTCAGCTCTGCTCTGGGGCGGGCGGGGGGGGGGGGGGGGGGGACGGGGAGGGGGTGTCTCTGCGAAAGGTGAGCGGGAATTCATGGCGGAAGTCCCTCGGTGGAATTTACACTCATTTTTGCCTTTCTTGGTGGTGGGCGGGTGGAGAGATTTTCCTGCAGTCCAAGAGAGTCTCTTTAACCCCTGCGGCCCCAGCGCACAGTAAACCCAAGCTGCCCTGCCTGAGGACGCTCCCAAGTTCCCAGGCTCCTTTGTTTTATTGTTTTGGTTGGTCGTGGGACTTGAACTCGGGGCCTGGGTGCTGTCCCTGATCTCTTTGCGCTCTACCACTTGAACCAGAGTGCAACTTCTGGTTTTTGACAAGTTTATTGGAGTTAAGAGTCTCATGGACTTTTCTGCCCCAGCTGGCTTCCAACTGTGATCCTCAGATCTCAGCCTCCTGAATAGCTGGGATTACAGGTGTGAGCCATAGGTGCCCAGCCCCAGACTCCTTCAGCTGTCACCAGACTTCAAGTCTAATGGCGGAGGGTCGGGGAGGGCACAAAGGCACAAGGACTCTCCTCCTCCTCCTCCTCCCCCCTCCTCCTTCCCCCCCTTCCCTCCCCCTCCCTCCCTCCTTCCCTCCCTCCCTCCCTCCCTTCCTCACTTCCTTCCTTCCTTCCTTCCTTCCTTCCTTCTTTCCTTCCCTTTTCTTTTTCTTTTTTAATTTTGTGCTGGTTCTGGGGCTTCAACTCAATGCTCATGCTCTCACTTGCCTTTTCCTCTTGAGGCCGGCACTAGACCACTTGAGCCACAGCTTCACTTCCAGCTTTTTGGGGATTTTTTGGAGATGAAAGAGGCTCATGGGCTTTCCTTCAAATCATGGTCCTCAGATCTCAACTTTCTGGGGTAGCTTGGATTACAGGCATGAATCACCAGCACTTGACCTACTGCAATCATTTCTTTGCTGGCTCTTTTGCCAGGCTGGGAATGCCTCAAGGGCACAAAGCCTGTCCTCTGCCCAGCATGATAGACAGAAACCTAGCTACCCCTTGAAGCTGCCCAGTTTCCCCATGGCTATCAGCAACCTTCAGTCCTTCCTAGCCACAGCCAGGCTGGAACATCCCCTTCCCTCCCTCCCTCCCTCCTTTCCTCTCTCTCTCTCTCTCTTTCTTTCTTTCTTTCTTTCTTTCTTTCTTTCTTTCTTTCTTTCTTTCTTCCTTTCTTTCTTTCTTTCCTGGTCCCAGGGCTTTTTCACTCAAGGCTAGTGCTCTGCCGGGCGCTGGTGGCTCACACCTGTAATCCTAGCTACTCAGGAGGCTGAGATCTGAGGATCATGATTCAAAGCCAGCCTGAGCAGGAAAGTCTGTGAGACTCTTATCTCCAGTTAACCACCAGAAATCTAGAAGTGGTGCTGTGGCTCAAGTGGTAGGGCACACACCTTGAGCTCAAAAGCTGAGGGACAGCGCCCAGGCCCAGAGTTCAAACCCCATGACCAACCAAAAAAAAAAAAAAGGGCTAGTGCTCTACCACTTGAGCTACAGTTTACTTCCAGCTTAATGGTGGTTAATTGGAGATAAGAGACTCATGGATTTAACTGTCCAAGTTGGTTTTGAATCATGATCCTCAGATCCCAGCTTCCTGAATCACTAGGATTGCAAGGATGAGCCACTCATGCCTGGCTAGCTTTCCCATTCTCTATTCCAATACACACTCACTTTCTTATTGTTTTTTTTCTAAGTAGATAACAAAAATCTTCTGCAAATGAAGAGTATATTTTACTCTTCAGCTCTCTAATTCTCCATTTTGTCCTTTTTCATTGCCTAGCCTCTCCAAACAAGGATGAAGAAAGAAATGATAATAGATACAGTTGTCTTGTCTGGACCTTTCTAGACATTCTTCTAGATGTTTAAATGCTGGAGATAGCTCACATTGGCTAAGGCAAGTGGATTTTCTCAGGAATTTGGAGAGCTGATTGTTTTGAACCATTGGTTTAACTAGCCACAGGACCAACTATATCACAGAAAAAGACAACTGCAACAAATCCGTGTCCCCAGCCTGCTGCCAACCATCTAGCAGCACAGCCATCCGCCTTCCTCATCTTCAGTGGCTCAGTTGCCATCAGAGAGAGGCCAGCAAGGTTAGACATGGGAAGGCAGGAAAGCATGTATCACACACAGCATTGAACAGGGGAGAACCACAAACACAGGTGCAATCGATCCAGCTAGGCGTAAATGACAGGTGGGCACTGATAAGAAATGGAAGAGTCTGGAGAATCTTATAGATGAGAGAGGACATATTTTCTATATGTTTTTCCCTTAAAAAAAAAGATGGATCCCGGGACCTTTCACATACTAGGCAGCCAGCGTTCCTCCACTGAGCTGTATCTCCTCCCCATCCATGTGTTTTTGATGCTGCAGTTATTGTTCAGTGAATTTAACTTTATTCTCCTGAGTTAAATAAAGAGCCATGGCTAGATGCTGGGGGCTCACGCCTGTAATCCTAACTTGTCAGGAGGCTGAGATCTGATGATAGAGGTTCAAAGCCAGTCTGAGACTCTTATCTCCACTTGACCACCAAAAAAAAAAGCCAGAAGTGGAGCTGTGTTCAAGTGGAAGAGTGCTAACTTTGAGCACAAAAGCTCAGGTACAGCACCCAGGCCCTGAGTTCAAGCCCTAGGACTGGCAATAATATATAAAATAAAAGAGCCATGGATGAATGGAAGCACTCTAGCTCTGAGGCTGGGCCTGAGGCTGGGGTAGTTTCAGTTCTGGGGCCTGAGAAGGGAACAAACAAGTATGGTATTGTATTGTTTTGTTTTAATGTTCCAGTACTGGCACTTGAACTCAGGGCCTGGGCACTGTTTCTTAGTGCTTTTTTTTTTTTAAGCTGGAGCTCTATCATTTGAATTCCATATCTACTTCTACTTTTTGCTGCTTAATTGGAGATAAGAGTCTCTGAGACTTGCCTGCTAGGGCTGGCTTCAAACTGTGATCTTCAGATCTCAGCCTCCTGTGTAGCTAGGATTATAGGCATTGAGCCACCAGTGCCAGGCAATGCCTTGCATTTGAATCCTTGCTCTACCACTTCCTGTCATGAGACCTCAGGTAAATCACTGAGTTTCCTAGGCTTGGTGCCTCATCTGTGAAATGAGGGTAAGACCTCCCTTGCATTTGCCAACCAGAAAACCCACTGTCCTGGCCTGCTGTGGCTTCTCAGCTACAAATGGGGTTCCCAGTTCCCAGGAGATGCTCTATCCCTAGCCCCTAGAATCCCCGTGTCCTCCCCAAATGGCTGGCTCCTAGACACACCTAGCACTAAAGCCACCAGCAGAAGGAACCACATGGTTATGGCTTAGGTGACACTGTGGGCTGGCTCTGGGATGCAGCCTCAGGGGGGCCCAGGAAATCTTGGCCCCAGGAAAGAGAAAGAGAGAAACAGACAGACAGACAGACAGAGAAAGAAACAGACAGAGAGACATGCACAGAGAGGGGGGGGAAGAGAGGGAAGGAGGGAGGAATGGAGGGAAGGAGGGAGGGAGGGAGAGAGAGAGAGAGAGAGAGAGAGAAAGAGAGAGAGAGAGAGTCTGTGCATCTGTTTGTCCTGATTCCCCTTGGGATGTCTATCTTGTCCCCAGATCCTCCAGTGTATCTGATCACAGAGGAAAGGTGCTGAGCGGAACCTGACAGGTTGGCGGTGCATCCACTCTGTCGCATGTCAGTGGTATGATGGGAGTAGCTGAGACTCGGCTGTCAGTCTGTGGTCCCAATGATGTTCAGTACCTGACCCCTACTGACCTCACTGTGACCTCAAGATACTTGTGAGGCTGGAACGGAAAACTGAGCTCATGGCAGGTGCCCTAATTTCCCCTCTACCTCATCTCTCTTCCGGGAAGGGGAATACGGTACCTGGAAAGACAATCAGCGTCACCTCAAAAATCTTATCGGGGCCCAGGATGTTGACACCACACCAGTATTTCCCAGTATCTTCCAGGGTGAGGTGCTTCACTGTCACTGTGAACGCGAGCTCTTGGGGGCTGTCCCGGATGGACAACCTGTCCTGTGTCACCTCCTGGTCGCCTCTGGTGTAGATGGTGTTCGAGCAGCGGGAGATCAGGAGCCCACCCTGCTTGCACCAGTATTTCCCATGCTTTATCCACTCTTGGCTGTAGGTACATCTCACAGCCAGGGTGTCACCTTCAAAGCCGCTTATCTCTTTCGGGCCCTTCATGGCTCCATTACCTGAAACTACAGCAGGATTGGAGGTGAGAATTCCCTGACCGGAGTCTCAAGCTTAAGACTAGATGTTTCCATTTCACTAAGATGAAGGAAGGCTTTCTTTCCTGTCAGCCCTTCCGGGGCCGTCCCTAGGATCCAGTATGCTCCCCACCTAGTAGGGCTATTGCTCTTTCTCTAAACTGCTTCCATATCAGGGTGGGGGACAGCTGGGAGTTTCAATCCAAGAATGACCATTTAGTACCTGTGTGACCTTGGAGAAGTTGCTTAACTTGTCTGGGCCTCTGAGTCTTCTTATTTATACTTGATGGTAATATTGTTTCATTGCTTTTAAAAGGCTACTATAGGCAAACCACATCATAATTTTATGATCCACTAAGAAAAAAAATCCACTATCAAGTGAACATTAGTTAGAAGGTACATCCTGATTTTAGGTGTTAAAGGTAAAGAAAGAAAAGAAATGTGGAGAGCTGGGATGCTCTCTGTTTTGTATTTTTTAAAAATGCTTCATGCCTGTAATGCTGGCTATTTGAAAGGCTGGGATCTGAAGATCATGGTTTGAAACCAGACTAGGCAGAAATATTGAAAAGACTCACCTCCAATTAACCAGCACAGAAGTAGGGACATGTGGCTCAAGTGGTAGAGCACCAGCCATGTGAAAAACAAAACAAAACAGAAAAGCAAAAAAAAAAAAAAAAAGCTAAGGGAGAATGCAAGGCACTGAGTTCAAGTTCAGTGCACGCAAGTGCATGCATGCACACACACAGACACAGACACAGACACACAGACACACACACACACACACACACACACACACACACACTGAGCTGGCCTGTGAGTTGATAGAACATGGTAGTCCTTTATCTCTCAGGTTGTTGGGAGTGGCAGAGCAGAGATTCAACAAAGGTTTTCTCCTCTCTACTGGAGCCCCATGTCCCTCCCGCCACCTGCTGCCACCTCACCTGGTAGCACCAGACATGCCCACAGCAGAACCAGCCCCTGCATGGTGTGTGCAAACAGATGTTGCCTGCAGCTGGGAGCTCCTCTCTGGGCCTCGAGCCTCTGATCATTTAGCTTCCTGAAAAAGCCCCAGATCAGGACGAGGAAGGGAGAGGAGGGGTCACGAGTCATCCCTCTGCAAACCCAGCCAGGAAGGCGCCTCTGCCCTTCCCTTTGCTTAATAACCCTTCCACTTACCGCCTCAGCCTGCCAACCACACCAGTGCTTCCAGGAGCTTAAACTGTGGTTTGGGCACCCCCATGGGGTCTGTAGGTAGAATTCAGGTTGTCTATAAACTTGGATGTGGGGAGGGATGACATATTTGACCTTCATAAAAAAAATGACATACTGACCTTCAGAAGCCTCTGATATTTAGATTTTCCTTTTTTTTCTTTTTTTTGGGGGGGTCAGTTGTGGGCTTGAACTCTGGGCCTGGGTCCTGTCCCTCAGTTTAGTGCTCTACACTTGAGCCACAGCACCATTTCCTGGATTTTCCTTCTATTAGGAGTGTGGGGTTAGTGGAACTGTAACTGTTTGCCAACAAAAGTGGCAGATCTTGGCGATGCAGCTGTTACTAATACCCAGAAATACCTACTTGGAAACTTAGGTCTTACCTACAGGAGTTAGCTATTATAGTGTTTAACCAAGAAGCTTGTTTACTTTTTACTATGTTGTAAAATTATATGTTTTTGGATAACCGTCTCTTTATGTTTAAGTGTATGTTTATATGTGTGTGTGTGTGTGTGTGTGTGGGTAATGGTCCATATATATAAAGGAATATGGCCCGCGCACACACACACACACACACACACACACACACACACACATATACGTGTGTGTATGTGTAATGGCGTATTAATCTAGGTGATGGACAATAGTACCCGGTCTAGGACCCGGCCTATTCCATCGTCCCAGAGTTGCAGTACCGCCTTTGGCCACCGGGTGGCGGTACAAGCAGGGCTGAGATGAGTCTGGCTCCTGGTGCTGCCAGGCTGGTTCCCAGGGATTTCTTGCTGCTTGAAACAGCAAATCAGTGTTTGATTTCTCACAGCAAATTTCAATCCTCCTTAAGGAACAAAACCAACACACACACATTAGGTGGAGCTCTGGCACAATTTTGTTTTCCAAAATAGAGGGCTTTTTCCCCCCACCCTCACTGCGAAGTTCATACATGTTGTAAGCAATTTTTTATGCTTTAGAAAACCTCCAATACTATGTTGACACAATTCCTTCCAGTTGGAATTTTACACCCACAAGTTGTATAGTTCATTTTCAACATAGTGTCTAGCGAGTACTACTTCTCCAGAAAATTTTTAATCTACTTTCCAGAAAGCCTAACATATTAATTATAAGTCCATGTACGATTGACATTTCATTACGTTGTTGAGTGTTGTGAGGCCTCCAGCAAGGGAGAGGATTAATATTTGAAACATCAACTCAAGGGCTGTGGAAAGGAAGGTGTGACTCCAGTGAGGTAGGGATTTTGATTTCTCGATGATTGACGGTTGGTGGGTATTGCTGAGTAAGGAACGTGATTGTTGTATCCTTAAAAAACCCTGTTACTGCTGGGCGTCGGTGGCTCACACCTGTAATCCTAGCTACTCAGGAGGCTGAGATCTGAGGATCACAGTCCGAAGCCAGCTCAAGCAGGAAAGTCTGGGATACTCTTAATTCCAATTAACCACCAGAAAACTGGAAGTGGTGCTGTGGCTTAAGTGGTAGAGCGCTAGCCTTGAGCTGAAGAGCTGAGGGACTATGCCAGGCCCAGAGTTCAAGCCCCACAACTGACAAAACAGCAACAACAATAAAACCCAGAAATCCTGTTACCTGATCTCAGCCCAGGACCTGACTTTCATTTATGTGTACAGACTACACAGAAGGCAATGTTTTTGTTTTTGTTGGTCATAGGGCTTGAACTCAGGTCCTGGGTGCTGTCCCTGAGCTCTTTTGCTCAAGGCTAGCACTCTACAACTTTGAGCCACAGCTCCACTTCAGGTTTTCTGGTGGCAAATTGGATGTAAGAGTATCATGGACATGCCAGTAACTGTACCACTCAGAGCTCACTCTCCTGAGTATTTAGGATTATAGGTGTGAGCCACTGGTACCATGTGCATTTAAAATTTTTTATTTTACTTTTGGTTCCAATACTGGTGCTTGAACTAAGGGGTTCACACTTTCTTTCACCCCAGGCTGGTGTTCTACTGCTTCAGTCATATCTCCTGCTCCAGCTTTTTCCTGTTAATTGGAAATAAGAGCCTCAGGGATTTGCCCAATCTGGCTTTGAATTGTGAACCTTAGATCTCAGTCTCTTGAGTAGCAAGGATTATATATTTGAGCCTCCATCATCTGGTGGCAATTGGTTTTTGCAGTTTGAAGAAGACTGTAGACTGCTTCGTAGTCTGTTTCTAATCCTTTATTACTCCTGTCACAGAATAATTTTTATTTAATTTTTTATTGTTATCATAAAGGTGATGTACAAAGGGGTTACAGCTACATACATCAGATAAAGAGTACATTTCTTTTTGGACAATGTCACTGCTTCCCTCATTCTCTGTTTCTCCCTCCCATTCCCACCCACAAGTTGTATAGTTCATTTTCAACATAGTATCTAGCGAGTACCACTTCTCCAGAAAATTTTTAATCTACTTTCCAGAAAGCCTAACGTATTAATTATAAGTCCAGGTACGATTGTCATTTCATTATGTTGTTGAGTGTTGTGAGGCCTGAGCATTGACTTTTTGAAATATATGCCCTTTGGTAATAAATTGTTTTCCTTTTTAGTTTTTCTTTCTACTCCAGCTTGGGAATTGTGTTGTGATTTAAAGAAATTAAGTGTGAGAAGGCATATTAGTTAGGACTGTCATTTCTGGAGAATACAGGTGAGAGCAAATGCTTGTTCATATGAAGAGAATGCCACCCCTGTCCCTTCCTGTATATCTGAAGCTCCTCTCCATCTGTGACAGTCAGCTATGTGTCCAGACATTGTCCAAAGTCCCCTTGGCAAGCAAATTTGCTCTGGGTTGAGAACCACTGCTTTTGCTGATGAATAAATCTATGGACCAAGGAAGGCCTGGGAATCACAGCTTCTGGCCTCCAAAACACTCCCAGGGGAGCTGAATCATGGAACAGAAGCACAGAACGTACTTTGGAGGGAGCCGGGTCACTAAGAATAGGCGGCCTATGAGATGAGAAGTTTTCCCTAGCTACCATATGGTGGAAACCCACCTGGCCCAGCCATCAGGCCTGCAGCAGATGTGATGTGAGCAAGTGCTAAACTCTCACCCGCTCAGCTGCTGAGATGTTGCCGCTGGTTGTTTCTGTCACTCTGCCTGGCACCACACAGGTGTTCATTTTCTCATCACCCTGTTCTCTCCCGCTTGTGGCTTCCCCATCCCAAGCACATGTAAATCCAACTCTTCAACCTCCTCTACTGAGCCAATCTGCAAAATCCTTTTCCAGTTTGCATGGTTTCTGTTTGGAGGATTGTGTTTTCCTAGGAATGGCAATGAAAGTGATGGAGAAGGGCAGCAGTCAGGCAGTGCAAGTAGTTAATCCCATCTTACCCTCGGGATGGGCAGATACGCAGCTGGCTGTCCATATCTGTGAGTTCTGCATCTGTAATTCAACCAAACTCAGGAAAAACATGTGGAAAAAAATTCAGAAAGTAGCCAGGTACCTAGTGACTTGTATCTAGTTACTCAGGATCTGAGGATCATGGTTCAAAGGCAGCAAGGGCAGGAAAGTTCATGAGACTCTTATCTCCAATGAGCCTCCAAAAAGTTGGAAGTAGAGGTGTGGCTCAAGTGGTAGAGTACTAGCCTTGAATGAAAATGCTCAGGGAGCACACGAGGCTCTCAGTTCAAGCTCTAATACCTGCATCCCCTCCTCCCAAAATGCAGCCTGTTAGCAAAAAAGACAGAAAAGGGGACTCCAGATAGTAAAACGAGCAGGAAGAACCTTAACAAAGCTACTCTTTTGCATTACTGAGCTTAAGGAGGCAACAATCCAGCTTGAAAGTTTTGGCAAGGAGTTGAATAGTATAAAAAATGATACTATATTTGAAAAATAGAAAAAATTGATGTTAAGCATTTAATGTATGGTTTTCAAGCAAGTTAGGCCAGTTTAAATTCTGTAAGGAGACAGAATGAAGTTCAGAGAAACAAAGATTGAAATAGAGGAAAGAAAAAGTAGGAAAAAATGGAAGAAATTAGAACGTGTAACATACATTTTACTGGAGACCCAGAATTAAAGATAGGATGTTGGGACATAGTAGCAAGAATGAGATAAATTGTAGTGGAGAACATTCAAAATCTGAAGAAATATACTGTGTTCTTAATACACTGTGGTGTGTGTGTGTGTGTGTGTGTGTGTGTGTGTGTGTGTGTATGTGAGATATGCCAGGTGCTAAAGCCTATGATCCAGGGCATAGGTGACTTGTGACCAGGTGTAAGGGAGATATAATACAAAAACTTGATCTCTATATTGTAAATGACAGAGCAATGGAGCAAGTATGGCCTAGAAGTAGTGTTGAGGCCACAGTTTATGGCTCACTCTTGTAATCTTAGCTACTCAGGGGGATTATGGTTCGAAGCCAGCCAAGGCAGAAAAGTCTGCTAGACATCATCTCCATTTAACCAGCAAAAAGCTGGCTGGAGGCATTCCCCAAATGGTAGAGTGCCAGCAATGAGCAAGAAAGCTGAGCAAGAGTTTGAGGCCCTGATGTAAGCCCTAGTACTGGTGCATGCACACACACGCACACACACACACACACACACAGAGTGATGATGAGATGCTTAGATATCCACACAGAAAAAAATATGACATAGGATCTCTATTTCTTATTGCATACAAAAGTCAGTTCTAGGCGAATTCTGTGTGTGTGTACAGGTAGGTAATAGGGATTGAATGCAGGGCTTTCTGTGGGTTAATTGGAGATGAGTTTCTCACAGACTTTCCTGACTGGCTTTAAACTGAGATCCTCATATTTCACCCTCCTAAGTATCTAGGATTAAAAGGCATGAGCCACCAGCACTTGATGTCCTGGTGCTTTTTGATGAAGTAGGTCTTTGATAGCCCTGTTCTTTTGAAATGTATCTCTCTTCCAGAGTAATTTTATCCCTGAACTCTTTTGCTAAAATTCCTGGGGCAGTTAAGTCCAGGCCTGTCCCTGTAGTGACTGTCAAGATCATACACCCAGGAGTTTACTTGCTCCTTTCATTCAGTCTAACCTTTTCTTTGCTGGAATTTGAACTCAGGGCCTCAGCTTGCTTGTTAGGCTAGAGCTCTATCACCTGAGCCACATTTCCAGCCCAGCTTTTTGCTAATTTTTTTTTCCCCAGAAATGAGTCTCAAATACTTTTCTGCCATGCCTGGCTTTTAAGCTAGATTCCCCGGATCTCAGCCTCCTGAGTAGCTAGAATTACAAGTATGAGCCACACCCCTGGGAGCATATATTCATCCAGTTTGTTGCATGGTGGAGATACTCTGAATAGCAGTTTCTTTTTTATTGATGAATAAATATACCATTGTGTGTATGTGTGTATGTGTGTGTGTGTGTGTATTTCAATTTGTTTATTCATTCAGTGGTTGTTTGGCATCTGAATAGGATTAATCCTTCTAGAAACGAGGTTGAAGGGAGCACCATAGGCCCTTGATCCTTGTTGGATATATATGTGATGGATATTTCTTCCAAGTCTATGGGTTACCTGCTGTGTGTGTGTGTGTGTGTGTGTGCACGCACACACACGTGCACACACACATGCGTGTGTGAGTACTGGGGCTTGAATTCATAGCCTGAGTGCTATGACTTGTCCTTTTTGCTCAAGTTTACACTCTACAACATAACCACAAATTGTCTTGGTTTTTAGTGGTTAATTGGAGGTACAGAGTCTTAGGGATTTTTCCTGCTTTGGCTGGTTTTGAACTATCATCCTCAGATCTCAGCCTCTTGAGTAGTTAGGATTACAGGGGTGAGCCACCAGTAGCCAGCTTAAGCTTATTACATATTGAGAAGCATTGTGGTAGTTTTTGAAGAATGAGGGTAATGATCCTAACTCTCTCACAGCTTCTCCATCCCCTGCTAGGTGTGGGGCTATAGACTCATTTTCTGTCTGTGACATACTCCACATCCCAGACTGAACCTCTAAGTGTTGTGATGTTTGCTGCTGGGGTTGAGGGTAGGCAGGCGCCCAATGAGCCCCCCCCCCCAACTTGCTAAAATCTACCTTCTCAGTCACCAAGCAGTTCCAGCCCTCTCCTGAATACACATCCTTCCCCCAGCCTCAGTTTCCTTGTTTGTAGAGCTGCTGAAATTATATCCATATATCTATCTGAAGAAGGAAAGTGTTGGGGCGGGTTCTGAAGAGCACCGGGCCCACGGAAACAGTACAATAAAACCCCATAATCGCCATGGCCATTCAGAGCTCTGTCCCCCAGGAAAAGCCCCTGGACACCAGTTGCCTTTCCAATCAGCTGTACCTCCAAACACCCTGCATAATCCAGTCCGCCTTCTTCCAGGTGGGACTTCCCTGCCCTTCCAGCTCTGCGCCCCTAGGCAGCGTGCACTCAGAAGTCTTCTCCAGCATGTCCCTTTGTTGCAGGGAATTGTCCTGGTGTTGTCTGACCACTGGGCCTGTGAGTTTTCAAATCCAAGGCTGTCTTGTCTTGATCACTTAGCCCTTGGCACAGTGCCTGGCACTTTGGAGGATGCTCAATCAACGTTTGCAAAATGAAATTCTCGATGGGTCCAGCAGGTGTCCACTCCTCCACTGTCAGCGATCAGAGTCTGTTCAGGAGGTGGGGCCTAAGGGTGGCCGGCTGGGCTGTGCCAGGGGCTAGGGTCCCACCCAGTACGGAGGGGTTGCGGTCAGAGCAGCGCTCCAGCCCTTCCTGTCCAGTCCCTCCCCGCCCCTTCTCTTTCCCTCCCCGCCCTTCTCCGTAGCCACTCCGTTCCTCCTCAATTCGTAAAGGCCACGCCCACAGACTCCGCCCACCACAGACCCCGCCCACCGCACAGGCCCCTCCCTGCCCGCCCCGCCCCCGCCCGCAAAGCCGCGCCAGGGAGGGGCCCACGGAGGCGGAGCCAGCAGCGGCTGAGGCTCCCGCGCGGCTCTGGGTCGCTGAGCCCAGATCCCGGCGGCGCGACGAGGTAAGGAGCAGCTGCAGACAAGGGAGCGGGTTCCGCTGCAAAGGGGTGGGCCGAGACCCGCCCCTCGCAAGTAGGACAGCCTGGTGGCCCACCCGACCCCAGCTGGGGGACTCAGTCCCCTGCCTGCGCACCCCCCCCATTCCCTCCATCCCGCGCCCCCATCCCGTGCGCTCCACTCCGCACCCCCTCCCTCCGAGCATCCCCAGGGCTCTGCTCCCCCTGGCCCAGCCACGCGCCTTGTTGGTCCCACAGGTTCCTGCCTTAGGCGGCTCGAGTCTGGGCTCGGCCTCCTTGGGGCGGGGAGGAGGGGGCGCCTCCGGAAGCCGCCCGGGGTGAGCCCCGCGCGGGGCGGGGGCCGGAGGCTCTGGGTACCATTCTTCTGCCTCGTAGCGAATGTCACCGTGCTCAGCGCGGCTCAGGCTGGCTCCATGTTTGTGGAATGAATGAATCACGACTCTCTTGTCCTCTTCTGGAGGATTTATTATTATTATTATTATCATTATTATTTGGAGGTCCACGTGCTGCAGAGTATCTGGGGGGGATGTCTCTTGAGCTAGAGTACCCCTCTTCCTGCGTAGCTGAAACCCCGCTTTTCGTTCTCCATGTCTTCTCTTCACTCCATTCTGGAGGCTTCCTTTGGGTTGGGGAGGGAGGTATGGAATGGGGCAGAGTGGTTTTGTAGGCCCAGTCAGGTACTTGTTGAAGGGGTGTTGTAGCCAGGGACTGGAGCAGGGAGTCTTAGAAGGTAGCTAAAGTGGGGAGGACCTCTGGGGAGAGCTGGGGTAGGCAAGGCCATTTGCATGACCAAGGCTAGCTGGAAGTGCCAATCTGAGGTTGGATTCTGGTCCATGAGTTACTTATTGAACCCTTTGGCGCCTCAGTTTCTTTATCAGAAAAATGGGAATATTGGTATTCATTTTTCAGGGTTTTGCACAGTTTTGGAAATACGGTGTGTGAAATACCCAGCTTGTCCTATGGAGGGCTCTCAGTAAATCATGTTTTTTGTTTACCTTGCTCTCTGAGGGAAAAAAAGTGAGCAGAGATATTTGGCTCCCATTTCTTCTGTCCCTAAAATTGACCATAGACAGAATCAGGTGATATGTGGTAAGTATTGAGTGAATATGTCACCCCCCCTTCCCACATCTCATTTCTATCTGCAGAGAGAGCTCAGGAACCGGCATAGGCATGCCAGTGCTGTCAGAGGACTCTGGTGAGTGCCCCCTATGGCCAAATTAGCTATAGCCTTAAACAGAAGCTCACCAGACTGGGGTCTCCTAGAGCTAGAAAGGAACCAGGCTCTTTGCTGGTGCTGCCTCCAGACTACCCTATCTGAAAACCTTGGGGAAAAGAGGTCTACATGGGTTCCCTGACAGGAAGTCCTGCTGAGTTTATGTGCTTCCTTCTCTGTGTGTGTGTGTGTGTGTTTGTGTGTGTGTGTGTGTGTTTGTGTGTGTGTGTGTGTATGTGTATACTGGGGCTTGAACTCAGGGTCTGTGTGCTTTAGTTTTTTCACTCAAGGCTGGTGTTCTGCCACTTGAGACACAGCTCCATTTCCGGCTTTTTACTGATTAATTGGAGATGAGTTTCACAGACTTTCCTACCCTTTGGGCTGGCTTTGAACTGCTGCCCTCCTATCTCAGCCTTCTGAGTAGTTAGGATTACAGATGTGAGCCACCAGCACCCAGTACTACCTCGTTTTTCTTGTTCTCTCTTTAGGTTTGCATGAAACCCTGGCGCTGCTGACCTCGCAGCTCAGGCCTGACTCCAACCACAGGGAAGAGATGGGCTTCCTGAGGGATGTTTTCAGTGAGAAAAGCCTGGGCTACCTGATGAAGGTGAACACCTGCTTGAGCCCACTTCCCTCTTTAGGGATGGCTCCTCCTAGCTCTCTGACACCTGAGCTATCCCCCTGCCTCAGGAAGACCTTCACAAGCTCACTTGACAGGACTTTCTCTAAGGCTGCCCTGTGGTTGACCACAGCCAGGGATGGGGGATCTTTGGGGTCCAGAGTAAACTGAAAATCAGATGTTTTTGCAGATTCATGAGAAGCTGCGTTATTATGAGAGGCAAAGTCCAACCCCAGTTCTGCACAGCGCTGTGGCCCTCGCAGAGGATGTGAGTCTCCCAGGTTTTTCCTTCTGATGACAACCCCATTTCCTATCCGTAGGCTCCTTCTTGCTTTGTCACCATTGCTTAGCTTGGAAATGTTAGGGGTTGAGAACCCAAAGTTGAAGAGGTGTTTCCTTCTTGTTCCTTTTTCCTTTCTTCTCTTCCTTTGGTCTCCTAATAGGCACAGAGGATGGAGGACCTTGTAAGCTTTGGCTGGGCTGGGAAATCTGGTGTTGTTCTCCCTTCCCCTGCCCCTTACTGTGTATTTTGGAGCAAGCCTGTGTCCTTAGCTAGAAAAGGAGAGGATTAGATGGAATCAGCAATTCTCCAGCTGTTCTGAGAACTGGCACCATGACTAGATCAAACCATCAGCTCAGGTCCTGTCCTTTGGGAGGCCAACATGAAGTGTGTGCCTAGTACTGGCTTAGGCCTCTCTCTCTCTTTCTCTCTCTCTCTCCTTCTGTGTGTGTGTCTGTGTTTGTACTAGAACTGGGGCTTGAACTCAGGGCCAGGGTGCTTCCCCTGAGCTTTTTACATCAAGATTAGCATTCTACCATGTGAGCGCAGCTCCACTTCCATTTCTTTTTTGTTGTTGTTGTTGGTTGTGGAGCTTGAACTCTGGGCTTGGGCGCTGTTCCTGTGCTCTTCAGCTCAAGGCGAGTTGAGATCACCCAGTTCCCAGGCAAGGTGCCACCTTGTCACTAGTTCCTGACCTTAAACAGGTCACTAACAGACAAGGCTAAGTTCAAGTCTGGGCTGTGCCACTAATGAGCTATGTGACCTTGGACAAGGTATTTAATCTCTCTGGGCCTCGGATGTTTCCTCTGTTACAGTGGCAAAACGATAGAACTCACTGCATCTAATTTGTTACAGGGATTGAGTGAAAAGGCCCTAAAAAGCAACAACACACAGCAGGGGCTTAATAAATTAGGTGCTCCTGAGCTGGGCACTGGTGGCTTACATCTGTAATCTGGGCTACTCAGGAAGCTGAGATCTGAGCATCCAGATTTAGAGCCATCTCAGGCAGATAAATCTGACTCATTTCCATTGAACCAACAAAAAGGCTGACAGTGGAGGTGTGGCTCAAGTGGTAGAGGGCCAGCCAGCCCTGATCAAAACAAAGCTAAGCAAGACTGTAAGACTCCAAGTTCACTCCCCTGTACTGATGTACACACACACACACACACACACACACACACACACACACACACACACACACACACACACGTCAGCTCCTAGTAGGATTGCCCTGTAGACCTGCTTGAGCTTGCCTGCCCCCTGCCATAATTTCCCCAAAGCCTCCATTGATCTGAGGGTGGCTGAGGGTCTAATGTGCTCCTGGGTACTCAGTGTTTCCTGGGGGAACCCATTTCTAAAGCCCAGGGAAGGGATTTTCCCAAAGGACTCAGGCAGACTTGGGCAGGGGCACCCCAGCCTACTGAGACATTCTGTCTCCTTCCCTTGCAGGTGATGGAGGAGCTGCAGGCCGCCTCCGTGCACAGCGAGGAGAGGGAGCTGCTGCAGCTGCTGTCCACCCCCCACCTCAGGGTAGTCACGCCGCAGGCCCTGCCCACCCACACAGCCCTGTCTCCTGGGGTGGGGGCGGAGGGAGGGCTAGGTCCTTAGGCTGAGAGGAGGTGGCTTCCACATGAAGGATCTTCAGCACTGATGTCTGAAGGAGGGGAGTGGTATCTCGAGCCTTTGACCCCTGCCTAGCCACTCCTCCCCTGGCCCCATAATGTGTGGGGCTCACTGTTTTCTTTGCTTCGTGCCAGGCTGTACTGGTGGTACATGATACAGTGGCCCAGAAGAATTTTGACCCTGTTCTGCCTCCCCTGCCTGATAATCTTGATGAAGATTTTGATGAGGAATCAGTGAAGATTGTTCGCCTGGTAAAGAATAAGGAGCCATTGGTATGTGGTGCTCAACCTCTCTCTCCCTGCCCTTGCTTCTCCCCCCACCCCCACCTCTACTCCTGAAGTTTTCAGGGTGTCAGACTTTTGTGTGTAGAGTACCCCCCTCCACCCCAGCTGTGGCTGAGGCCTTTAACACAGTGATCAACCTGCACATCTGTCCAGGGTAGTGATGATCATTAAGCTTAGAACTAGAAGTTATGGTCCAAATGTAGCCCACAGCTTGGAAGGTTTTTTTTTTTTTGTTTTTTTGTTTTTTGTTTTTTGTTTTCTGATGTTGCTGATTCATATTACAGTGGAGTTGAGTAGTTGCAACAGAGATAGTGTAGTCCCCAAGCCTGGTATTTTTATTAGGTCCTTCATAGAAAAAGTTACCGATCCCTGCTGTGAATAATGAGGCAGCAGGGCCATTCTTTTCCTCAGCTAACAGGCGATCATTTTGCTACTGGTTCAGCACTAATTGGGCAAAGAGACAGGTTGTTTCTTAGATGGAGGGAAGAGGTGGAAATACGGAGAACTTAGTCCAGAGAATTCCACAGTTTCAGTTTTCCCAGATGATCTGCAACTAGCCATATCTGCACACAAGATGAGGCTCTTTTCTTTGTCTCTGTGTTCTTGTCACACATGGGGCCACCACCGTAGAGTTGGTGTTATACCAGGAGCCCTGTGGTGCCTGTATCATGTTAGGGGCCAGCAGTTCAGAGAGGACTAAGGGCTGCACCGAGATGCTTGAGAGTTCCTAGGTCTGAGGACCAAGAATGGACTGCCTCTCTTGCTTTTGTGCTTTAGATAGGCAACATGAATAAAGTTCATAAAGATGTACCTGTAGTCCTGGCTTACTTAGGAGGTGAAGGCAGAAGGATTTCAAGTGAATTCAAGGCTAGCATAGGCAAAGTTAGTAAGACTGTCTCAAAAACATAATACAAGCTTAGCACCTCTGGTTTCTCTTGTCTGTAATCCTAACTGCTTAGGAGGCTGAGGTCTGAGAATTTAGGTTCAAAGCCAGCAACAAGCAAAAACATCCATGAGACTCTTGTCTCCAACTAACCGGCAAAAAGCCAAAAGAGTAGGTGTGGCTTAACTGGTAGAGCACCTTCCTTGAGCAAAAAGGCTAAAAGACAGTGCCCAGGCCCTACTCTCAAGCCCCACTGCCAGCACCACAGAAAAAAAGGGGAGTTGGAGGTGTGGCTTAAGTGCACTTGCTTAGCAACAGTGAGGACCTGGATTCAATCCCCAGTACTACTTTCCCCCTCCAAAAACAAAAACAAAACACCAAAAAATGTGAAAATGCGTTTGCAGGTTGTACCAATAATAAAGGGTTAACATGTGTTGAGCCCTTACTGTATATGAAGTGCTGTGCCATCTTGCATTCATTCAGAGAAGAGAGGGGACTTCCTTGCTAAAGCCATGTGCTTTTTGTCAGTGGGTTCATACCTAGTCCAACGGCAGTCCTCAGGTCTCAACCTCACCTGTACCCTGGCATCAACACTCATCAAGTGCAAGAAATTGAGGGCTCATGAAGTAGTGCCTTGCTCAGTCCCAATGCCATCTCCTCCCTGATTGGTGGGCCAACTCTTGGTCCTGAAGCTCTGGCAGGGGCATAATTGGTTCCTCTTGGCAACAACAGAAGGCTCAGGAACACTGTGATGGGCTTGAGGCAGGTTGTGAATTCGCTAGCACATACTGTCCTCATTATTAAATGACCGCCAGAGGCAGAGGCCCCCCTGTGAGAGAAAGAAAGCACTGGATTCAGCGTCACAAAAAGCTTTCCACCTTTTCTGTCCAGGTGACCTTGAGGATGCTTATACCTGACTTTGAGGATGCTTATTGTCTCTGCTTTAGTTTCTCATCTCAGGGATTTTGTGCTTTGTAAGGTGTGAGTTGTAGAGCTTTACTTAGGAGGCAGATGCTGGTTTTACTGGCTCCACAGCCTTGGGAAGGCCCTCACTGAGTCACCTTCTGGAGTGTGGAGGTCATTGTTGGGGTCTAGGGTCCAAGAGCCTATCCTCCGTTCTGTCTTCCATGTAGGGTGCCACCATCCGTCGGGATGAGCATTCAGGGGCTGTCGTCGTGGCTAGGATCATGCGTGGGGGTGCAGCAGACCGGAGTGGTAAGTGGTAACAATGTGATGTCAGCTTGGCTGGGAGTAGGGGGTTGTTCCAGAGATTTTCCTCTTTCCTCCATTGCTCTCTTTCTCTCTATTCTTGGGTCATTTATTTGGGATGTAGTTTGGGGAATGTCCTAAGCTCAATAGAATTTTATTTTATTTACCTTATTTTTGGTGCAGGCATTGGGGATTGAGCTCAGAGCCTGGGTGCTGTCCCTCAGCTTTTTTACTCAAGGTTGATGCTCTACCACTTAAGCTATATCTCTTATTTCCAGCTTTTTGGTCATTAGTTGGAGATAAGAGTCTTAACCAACTTTCCTGTTTGGGTTGGCTTTGAACTGTGATCCGCAGAACTCAGCCTCCTGAGTAGCTAGGATTACAGGCATGAGCCACTGGTACCCAGCTCTCAGTAGAAATTTAACTAAAAACCTAGTAGGCCTGAAGTCATTTGGGGACTATCAGGAAGAGGTTTATGTTCTAGCTTTATGCCAAGGCCCTTTGGGGTACTGCCCTGCCCCGATCATTGTTTTGTTGAGTTGCTCGGTAAGGGGCCGGGTGTTCATGTCCCAGATTAGCTGAGGTGGAAAACAGGTTGAGAATCACTGGTGTGTGGGGGAGCTGAGCCAGAAGGCAAGCCTGCTGGTGTAGGGGATGGTACCCTCCAAGTCTTGGGCATCAGTGTGGGAGGCCTGGACTAGCACTCCCCAAATACCACTGAGCACACAGCATCCCTGAGCTTCATGCGGACTCTGAGTCAGAAGCCAACATTTTGTACCCTCCCTGCAGCTACTGCTGCTGCTGGCCCAGTGCCCACTGCGACAGCAAATAGGGCTCCAGTATGCAAGGACACGTCATTAAAGCAGAGGCTAGTACCCAGAGTGCTGGGTATCATGGTGCACTTCTATAGTCCCAGCTACATTGGAAGCTGAGGCGGAGGATTACTTGAGTACGAGAGTTCAAGACTAGGCTAGTCGACATAGACAGACCTGGATAGGTATGCCTACACTCTTGATGACATTTATTTATTTATTTTGCTGGTCTGGGGGCTTGAACTCAGGGCCTGGCTGTCCCTGAGCCTCTTTGTGCTCAAGGCTAACACTCATCACTTTGAGCTACAGTGCCACTTCTGGCTTTTTCTGACTAGTTTATTGAAGGTATGAGTTTTATGGATTCTCTTGCCCAAGCTGGTTTTGAACCTCAATCCTCAGATCGCAGCCTCTTCAGTAGCTAAGATTAAAGGCGTGAGCCACTGGTGCCCCGCTTGATTTATTTATTTTTTGTCAGTCATGGGGCTTGAATTCTGGGTCTGGGTGCTGGGTCTCAGCTCTTCAGCTCAAGACTAGCACTCTACCACTTGAGCCACAGCGCCACTTCCAGTTTTCCAGTGTTTTTTTGGAGATAAGAGTTTTTTCGGGCTTTCCTGCTCGGGCTGGCTTTGAACTGCAATCCTCATATCTCAAGCTCCTGAGTAGCTAGGGTTACAGGCGTGAGCCACCGCGCCCAGCTGCTTGGTGACATTTTTAAGGGAGACTTTAAGTTTCTTTATTAAGATTTAAGAAGACCATTCCTGAGTGTGCCTGAAAACTAAGAAAGTGCAGCATTAATGATCTTTTTTGGTATGTGTGCCATAATTGGGGCTTGAGCTTTTTTGCTCAATTCTACAGCTCCACTTCTAGCTTTATGCTTGTTAATTGGAGCTCTCAGATTTGTCTGCCCAGGCTGGGACTTTTAATTCTCAGATCTTAGCCTCCTGAATAGCTAGAATTACAGGTGTGAGCCACTGGGGCCCAGATAAAGATAATTCTAAAGAAGAAGAGATTGGGCTTGGCTCATTGCTCAAGTGGTAGAGCACCTACCTATTAAGGACAAAGCCCTGAGTTCAACTCACAGTCCCCTCCCCCCTCCAAAAATAAAGCAGAAGGCATGCAGTTTTCTGTGCCAAAAGTGACTAGCTGCTTACTGGCTCTGTTATTTCTTAGTAGCATGGCCTTGGGCAAACTGCCACTTCTTCCTGGCTGGCAGCTGCCAGCTTGTACAGGAAGGCCTGGGGGAGGGAGAGGGGGAAGGCAAGGGGGGGTTATGATGCTGAGAACCTGCCAAGCACACAGAATGTTACAGTCTGTTCCAGCCTCATTACCCTTCCCTCAGGCTTTAGACCATGAGTCTGTCCTGCAGTGGGTTCCTCAGCGCCCAGGGCTCTGAGCTCAGGGCCGAGGCCCCTTTCTATGCTGACAGGTTGGTCCCTGTGTCTCCCAGGACTGGTGCACGTTGGTGATGAGCTCCGAGAAGTGAATGGAATCGCAGTGCTGCACAAGCGGCCAGACGAGATCAGTCAGATTCTGGTGTGTGTTGCATGTGTGTTGGGAAATGGGGACTTTTTGGAGAATTGCAGAGCAGGGAGCTTTCCAGAGCCAGGGTAGATTTGGCTCAACCAATGTCTCATGAGGCAGCGGCAAGCAAAGTAGCCTTGCGGTGTTCCCTGGGGTGTGGAATCAGGAATGAAAAGACTAGAACTTGCAGTCCACCTGCTTCTCCCAGGCCTTCTCTTCAGCATAGCCGTTTTCACTACCTATCCCTTTTTCTGAGCACTCTTCTGGGTTCTGGATTTGAACCCTGGTTCTGCAACTTTCTGGCTGTGTGGCCTTGGACCCAAGTCAGGTGAGACTCCATTTCCTTTGCTATAGAGAGAACTCAAGACAATCTCTCAACCAGTGCCTGGTTATCCTTAGCAGTGAACATCAGGAGAAGATAAAACTTTTAGAGGTGAAAATGACCTACCTGGTTCATTTGGGGGAAATCTTTAATTTTTTATTTTTTGGGTCCGGTCGTGGGGCCTGAACTCTGGGCCTGGGCGCTGTCCCTCAGGTCTTAAAGCTCAAGGCTAGCACTCTACCACTTGAGCCACAGTGCCACTTCTGGCTTTTTTCCCCCTGCTTATGTGGTGCTGAGGAATCAAACCCAGGGCCTCAGGCATGCAAGGCAAGTGCTCTACCACTGAGCTACCTTCCCAGTCCTTGGGGGGAATCTTGAGTCAAAACTAGAATCAGGAAAAGGTCAGGGCTCTGTCCTGTTTGTCCTAGGGTATCAATATGCTGCCCTTTCCTAACTTCAGAGGGTTTCAGGATCAAACACAGAATTACAGCTGAAGAGAGCAGGCCTACCTTCAGTCCTGTTGTGGGGAACACACATGTAGCCTGGCCCTTCAGTCTTTTTTTTTTTTTTGGTCGTAGGGCTTGAACTCAGGGCCTAGATACTGTCCCTGAGCATTTTTGTTCAAGGCTAGTGTTCTACCACTTTGAGCCACAGTACTACTTCTGGTTTTTGAGTGGTTAATTAAAGATAAGAGTCTCATGGACTTTTCTGCCTGGGCTGGCTTCGAATCATGATTCTCAGATCTCTGAGTAACTATGATTACAGGTGTGAGCTACTGGTACCTGGCTCTGGCCCTTCACTCTTTTAGCTGAAGTGTGGGCTGTGGGCTATGGGCATTGACCCGTACAATCATCTGGGCCTTCAGAGTAGTGGTGAGCCATGGGGAGAGAATCTGGCTGGTGTGCCCTCAGGATCTGACAGTATTCTCCCCCTAGACCCTGGCCTTTGGGTGCAGGATCTCTGGAAGAAAGGGAACCTCCCAGAAAGGTCAGAGTGGTTTGAGATTGGAGAACTGTGGAGAAAATGGGAGCAAAGAGGAAAGGACTTACCAAGGAATAGCCCCAGGACAGGGAAAACAGAGGAAAATGAAATAGAAGATTATTATAATGGCCTGAGTTAAGCTGGAGGTGTGGCTCCATTAGGAGAGTGCCATCCATGAGCAGAAAAAGACGAGCAAGAATGCAAAGCTCTGAATGTAAGCCCTGTTAACTCCCCTTCTGCCCCCTACCCCCTACCCCCATATATGCACATGATATGAGAAAAGCAAGAAGGGAGCTTTGAGGGCCTCATAAGTCAGGAGAGATAGAGAGCTAGAATTTAAATGCATGTCATGTTCATAACATTCTCATGTAAAATCTTGTGTCTCTTTGTCCCATGGAAAGGCAGACACCTGATGTCAAAGTTTTACTAATTCAGCCAGGCCACAGGGGAGGAGGATACAGGTCTGACTTTCACTCTGATCAGTTCTTAGACACACACTCAGGGAAGGTGAAGCCTAGAAGACAATGAGTGATTGTTTCCTCTTGTTTTAGGCCCAATCCCAGGGCTCTATCACCCTCAAGATCATCCCAGCCACCCAGGAGGAGGACCGCTTCAAGGAGAGCAAGGTATGGGGAGGTGGGCTAGGGGACAAGGATGTATATGCTAGATCCAGGTCATCTGCAGATCATGTCATTCAGAACAGATCATGCATGTGGCCCCCGTAATCTGCCCAGCAGAAGACTTTAATTCACTCACAAGATGATGCATGTGTTTGTGCCCTGTCTTTCTAAACTGGATTTGACATAGTTTATTAATAAGAGAACAACGCTAGTTATATTAAAGTAAGAAATGGGGGCCATCAGGAGGAGAAGGGGCTGGGGACTGGTGGCTCCACACTATAATCCTAGTTACTCAGGAAGCTGAGATCTGAAGGTTGTAGTTTCAAGCCAGTCTGGGCAGAAAAGTCCATAAAACTCTTAATCTCCAATTGACCAAAAATCTGGTTAGGCTGCCAGCCTTGAACAAAAAAGCCTGAAGTTCAAGCCCCAGTATTGGTATATATACGCATACAAAAAAGTGGTTTATATAGATGGGCTGTAACCTTAGGAGATACTAACGTAGGATCAGGGAAGGGAGGGCAGGGAAGGAAGCCATGCTCTAACATGCCATCCAGCAAGTCACTGCCGTGGCACCTGCAGCTTAATCCTGCAGAGAAATTCAGGGAACCCCTGTAGAACACATGCCTCTGTCACCCCAGTCAACAGCCTCAGGGAGCTGGGGCGATTTATACAGAAACTGCTGCCTGGATACATTGGGGATTAATTTTTAAGCAGTTTCTTCCTGCTGGATTAGAGAAGAGAATCCCCATTCCACCCCCCCCCCATCTCTCCCAGTGGCCAGAGGAAGTGAGTCCTTAGGCAAAGAGATTCAGGGATTGGCATCACAACAGCAACTAAGGGCTACTGAAGTAGTCCAGTGGGAAGGACCCCTCACTATCTAAGAGATAACCCCTGCAAAAGTGATGAGAAGTTCTTAAAGGTATGTTTTTTAAAAGAAGGTTGTGATCCTTTGACACAGAGGAAGGATCAGTTTCCTTGAACAAGAAAATGAGCTAGATACTGGTGGCTTACTCCTATACTCTTTGCAATTCAAAGCTAGTGTGGCTGGAAACTCTGTGAGACTCTTATCTCCAGTGAACCATCAAAAAGCTGGAAGTAGAGCTGTGGTTCAAGTGGTAGAATGCCAGCCTTGAATGAAAAAGCTAAAGGACAGCAGACTAGAGCCCTGAAATCAGGTCCTAGTACTGGCACAAAAAGGAAGGAAGGAAGGGAGGGAGGGCGGGAGGGAGGAAGGGAGGGGGGGAGGAAGGAAGAGAAGAAGATTGGAAAGAGAAAGTTTTGAGGGGTTGAGAGGGAGGGATTTAAAGGGTGACATTGACCAAGATGCATTGTATTCATAAACTGATTTGTTGAATGGCAAGTCCTTTGTACAATCACCCAAAGATATTTTTTAGCTGGGCGGTGGTAGCTACTCAAGAGGCTAAGATCTGAGGATCGCAGTTTGAAACCAGCCCATGCATGAAAGTTCATGAGACTTATCTCCAATGAATCACCAAAACAGTCAGAAATGGTTTGTGGCTCAAGTGGTAGAGTGCTAGCTTTGAGCAAAAAGAAGTACAGGAACAGCACCCAAGCCCTGAGTTCAAGCCCCAGGACTGGCATAATAATAATAATAATAATAATATTTTAAAAAGAGAAAGTTGCTCATAGGGCTTGTTTATTCATTTTCAATTCTTTTTTTTTTTGGGGGGGTCCAGGCCTGAACTCTGGGCCTGGGCGCTGTCCCTCAGCTCTTCAGCTCAAGGCTAGTGCTCTACAACTTGAGCCAGAGCACCACTTCCGGCTTCTTTTTCTTTTTGCTTATGTGGTGCTGGGGAATCGAACCCAGGGCCTCATGCATGCAAGGCAAGCGCTCTACCACTGAACCACCTTCCCAGCCCCCCCTTTTTTTTTAACAAGGATTTATTTCAGTATATCTGGATAAAATAGGGAGAAATGGAAGGAAAAAGAAAAACCTTCCTGTTCACTTTGTGAGAAATGGTAATGAGCCGGGTGCTGGTGGCTCATGCCTATAATCCTAGCTACTCAAGAGGCAGAGATCTGAAAGTCACCGTTCAAAGACACCTTGTGCAGGAAAGGCTGGGAGACTTATCTCCAATTCATGACCAGAAAACTTGAAGTGGTGCTGTGGCTCACAGTGGTAGAGTACTAGTCTTGAACAAAAAGAGTTCAGAAATAGTAACCAGGCCCTGAGTTCAAGCCCCATGACCACCACCACCACCACCACCAACAAACTCCAGACAAAAAAATGGTAATGAAGTTCCTTTTTTTCTTGACACAGGGTCTTAACTATGTAGCTAGCTTAGGCTGGTCTCAGACTGATGGTTCTTTCTGCCTCAGCCTCGCAAGTTTGAGGACTAAAGGTATACATCACCATACCTGGCTCATTTCTCTATCATGGAAGGATTTCCTGCCCTAAAAATCCTAAGGGTGAAAGGATAGGGAAAGGTGGCATTGTGTTTCTGATTATCTCTCTGTGCTCATGACTCCTTGCTCGCCCTCACTGTGAATGGTCATCCTCACTTGGCCTGTGATGTGGTGTGGACATGTCTGCATCTTTGTATGGGGTGGGTATTTGTCTCACTGCATCTCTTCCCATGCAGGTGTTCATGCGCGCTCTCTTCTACTATGACCCCCGGGAGGACCGAGCCATCCCCTGCCAGGAGGCGGGCCTTCCTTTCCAGCGGAGGCAGGTCCTGGAAGTGGTGAGCCAGGATGACCCCACATGGTGGCAGGCCAAGAGAGTAGGGGATACCAATCTTCGAGCTGGCCTCATCCCTTCCAAGCAGTTCCAGGAGAGGTGGGTCTGGAGTGCCGTCATGGGGTGGTCTAGAGCAGCAGTGGTCCATGTACATGATAAACCCCTTTCTGGCTGCAGAAGCTAAAAAGATCCATTAAATATGGTTCCCTGGGGTGACAATTGGGCTATGTGCTTCTTGTCCACTAGCTAGTGGTGATAGCTGTTTGAGATTTAAATAGATGTGTGGACATTAATGCGTATAGTTGTCTCTCAGTATCACTGGGATTGGCTTCAGGACCTCTGTAAATAACAAAATCAATAGATGATCAAGTCTCTTACATAAAATGATGTTTTGGGTTGTTTTGTTTTGTTGATATTGTCATCTTTAGTGCCTGTCCTGGTGCGTGAACTGAGGGCATGGGCATTGTCCTTGAGTTTTTGTGCCCAAGGCTAATTCTCTACCACTTAAATCACACTTCTACTTCCAACTTTTTTGCTGGTTAATTGGCAATAAGAATCTCATGGACTTTCCTGCCCTGGTTGACTTTGGATTGTAGTCCTCAGATCTCAGCCTCCTAAGGGGCTAGGATTACAGGTGTGAGCCACCAGTACCTGGCTAAAATAGCATAAGACCTACAAACATCTTTCTGTATATTTTATTTATTTAGTTTTTGTGCCAATTCTGGGACTTGAACTCAGGGCCTGGGTATTGTCCCTAATCTTTCCTTTTTTCCCTTAAGGCTAGCACTCTATCACTTGAAACACACCTCCACTTCTGACTTTTTTGCGGGGCAGGGTGGAGGGGAGCAGTGTTTATTTGGAGTTAAAAGTCTCGTGGACTGGGGCTGGGAAGGTGGCTCAGTGGTAGAGCACTTGCCTTGCATGCATGAGGCCCTGGGTTCGATTCCTCAGCACCACATAAGCAAAAAGAAAAAAGC